AACCATGCATTCCATCTTTTCGCTTTCCTTCACTACATTCTGTAGTAGTTCTTGTAGTTTTCTTTCTATATCTGCTATCAACACTTATCTGCATATCTTCTATTTTTGTATATTTACTAAACTCATTTTCTGTCCATATGCAGGTGGTTTGCTGCTAGTATAGGTTCTGGATTATTCTAATATCCTTCCCGAATTTGTCAATAGTTACCTAGCAGTTCCAATGGTTCTTTGTGATGTACTTTATCAAATACTTTTGCATAATCTATAAAACTCAGGAACACATCCTTCTGCCTTTGTATTGTTCTTTCTGATATAATTCTGAGCATAAATATCGTATTCCTTGTTCTGGTATAAGGAACCTGCACTGTTCTTTTCCTATTTTCAGTCTGATTCTGCTGTTCATCAGAATTTGGATAAGTTTTGTTAAATGGCTCATTAGGTTGATTGTTCGATAGAGTTCACATTCATTACCACCACCAGGAAGGATTAGGAAAAAGAAAATATACATTTTTATTTTTAAATTTAAGTTTTGGATTATCTGCTGTGAAACTTTTGGACTCAAAAATTGAATGGTGAATATTCCTCTCTCACTATTGACTCAAGAATCAAGGTAAGAAATTACTTTGAATTTAAAAAACAAAAATAATAATAATGTTTAGAATTGTTTGGAAATAAAGTTACCAATATATTTAAGACCAATAAAAATGTAATTTACATTGGTAAATATTCCCTCTCCCACAGATAGACATGAGGAGGAGACAGGAAAAAAATGTATATTTTTTATTTTTAACTTCAAGTTTCTGATTATCAAATATGAAATTTGTTGGCTTTGATCACAAATTACAAATGCTATAAATTTCTGGCTATTTGTTTTGTAAATGCCAGGAATACTAGTAACATTAACAAAAACTTTCTGTAACAAATTTTCACCTTTTTATAATTGAATGCTATTTATATATGGTCAGCAGTATTACTTTTATTTATCACAAAGTATCACCTGTAATGATGATTCATGCTCCAAAATATCTCCCATACTGCAGCTGAATAGAAAATAACTACCTTATATAGGATAGCCTCCTAAAAAGGGCTTAAAACTAAACTGGTAAAAATGAGAAAAAGAAATCAATGTTAACAGCTATTTCTAGTTAGTAATTAACTTTCAGCATTTAAGTTACATCTAAATTGAATGGAAAATACTTTGGTTTCAACATCAGGATACCTAATAGATCTTTGTTGGAATAAGTACTGAACCATATAAACTATTCCAATAATTAAGCTATCAGTCAGTAGTAAAATAGAACTAGAATTTCTATTTAATAGATAGCAAAAAAAAAAAAAGAAAAAAAAAGAAAAACTAATAATGTATTTTTCTTCCTTTGTCTTTAGTAATTAATGAGAAAACTAAAACACTAGTAGCAGATATGGAAGTAATTAATGTATTGGATAGTAGTTAGAATCTCACATCAAGTACACAGCACTTCTCAAATTAGTAAATGTTTCCCTAATTTCAGCTTCACAATGACAATATTCTGTTATAAAAAAAGGGACATTTAAGAAAAGGGGAAATTTTGTTATTTAAGAATCATTGTATAACAAAATAGGCATATGTGTGTTACTTAACAGAAAAAAAACTATATTTAAGACTTGATCACCAAGATATATAACTATTAAGACTATCAAAATCTGACACTTTTTGGAAGATTATTATAAATATATCCAGAGAAATAGCAGTAACAATAATACCTTGATTTTGATGTGCTACACTAGAATGTAAGTTAATGCACACTTCAAAAATAATTTTAAAAAAATCTAAAATATAACTAAAAATAATGCCAAATGAGTAAAATAAAATATCATACTGAAACATTAGAAATGAAACACTATGACTATGCTACATGATAAAATAATGTATGAATAATGATTTTTAGAATCATTGATAATAAATATTGATAACAATTATAAAAATTTCAAGGAAGTGTAACAGAAACCATATAATCTATGGTAGAAAACATTCCTTACAAATGAGGTGTTATGTGAACTGACTGACATAGAATTCTTCAGACTGAAGAGCCAGCAACTTAGCGTTTTTTTATTTTTACATCCCAATTGACTGGTATCTTCTCATATTTTCAGCATGTTTTAACAAATTTGGTAACATTCCTAGTACTTTTAAGAGTATCATAATGAATTTGGTTCACTGGGAGAAAATGGAAACAAAAAAGAAACTAATACTTAACATCAGGAAGAGACAGCTGAGGTTTCTAGGGCATACATGAGGAAGGAGGGCTTGGAAAATCTGATACTCACAGGACGGATAGGGGGCAGAGGAAGACAACACATAACATACTTAATGAACTTGAGTAAATGAATGGTAGAACAGGGCTTAAAAGAAATAACAGAAAGGCAAAGTTTATTAAGTGCTAAAAGAGACAGGAAGTTGTGGAGAGCCATGATTGCCTACATTCTGAGTGGACACAGTACAAAGTATAAGCATTAAAAAACTTATAAGAATGCATAATAAAACATTTTATTTAAATATCTGCAAAAATTGAACTATCATTGTATTAACTAGTGCATTAACCCCTGCACAGTAACTTGGGCACATTATAAGAAATATATAAAACAGTGCTGAAAATTTCTTGGACCAGCAAACTTCCCATACTGTAGGTAAAAAAAAAAAAAAAAAAAATGTTCTTTTATATTGTAAAATGCTAATTTGCAAGATTCTTACCTCTATTTTTTAATTTGTTTCTGATCATTGACTGGATCATATGAATAGAAGAATGCAATTTTAAAGTGAGACATCGAAGTTCTTGGCAAATTGTTGATCATATTCATGACATAATTTGGGACAATTTCACCTTAAGCGAAAGAATTGCTGAGACATAAGAGATGTTCAAAGAACACACTGGATTCATAATTCATGAGCAGTTGAACATACAAAAGCCATCAGCTTAGTAATCAAGTTGCATTTAAGAAATTTTGTGATCTTTTTTTAAATGATCTATCATTGATGAAACATGGTTATATCATTATGATTCTGAGATGTAACAAAGGAACACACAGTGATAGTACTCAGGGTCTTCATGGTTGAAGAAATTAAAGACCCAAAAGTCATAAGGAAATGTCATGGATATCTTGTCAAGATATTTTGATGACTATCTTCAGATGAAACCAAAAATTAATGCAGAATACTACTCTAAGTTGCTGTAGACATAGAAAGAAAAAAGGCAAGGGAAACTGTTGGAAAGTGTTCTCTTTCTGCAAGACAATGCACCTGATTGCAAGGCAGGCAAGATGATGGTTGTTTTAAAGATTTTGCAAGCTTGAGACCATACATCTTACTCACCAGAATTTGCTCCATCTATTTCTTGTTTCTACTCCATAAAAGTAGTTTGTAAGTGAGGAACTTTTCTGAGATGATAGAGTAGTATTTCAGTGACCAAACAAGAATTCCTTTGTGAAGATTAATTGGAGAAGATGTAACAAATGTGCTGAACAGGGGAATAGCATTTAAATTTAATGGCTCTAGTTTATTCCATTCTTGCATAGAAATTTCCAACACCCCCTTGGATTTGGTAGCCTTGCTTTATAGCTGAAATAGTAATCTATTTCCTACCAGTGTCACAGACAAAACTAATTTTCTAAGTAGGCAATAATCATCTTTCAATCTCTATTTCTTGTCTTTATCTAGCCATTTTCTGTACAAAGTATTGAAGATACAAAAAGAAAAATGTCTTCAGTGTTTTCCCACCTTATTTTTTTTGCTCCATGACATAGCTTAACTATTATTTCAAGCAAATTATTTCCCTATTTCATACAAAAAAGCTGAAATTGATTAAATATTCTATCATGGCTTTTAATCAGCAAAAATAATAAAAATAAAATCACCGAATGATGAATAGTAAACATGAAAACAGCTTCAGTTGTGGTTACAAGTCAACAGTGTTATTTCATATTAATGCAATCTCAAGGGCATTAATATGACTGTTCATCTATATAAATATAAGCACATGATACCAAAGCTTAGATATAACAGAACGAAAAAAAAAATGTCTCATGAGAGAACTTCCTGTAGTTGCCTATAGTGATGGTAACGATGCTCCAAGCCGTTTTATGTACACAATCAAGAAATAAGTACAGGTCAAATAATAGCTAGATATTCAGTAACAATTGTATAAAGACTAGAGATGGGAGTTTGAACTATTATTTCTTGCAGACAGTGTTTTCGTTATTTATTTACAGTAAATCAGAACAATTTAATATTTAAGAGAATATCAGAAGACATTCAAGTGCATTGTTAAAAAGCAAAGCTAAAGCAGGATTCAATTTCAGAAAAACTCATCTCAACTTCTTTTCAAAGAGTCATAAAAATTCAGTAGAAAAAGACACTCCTAAAGTGAAGCTGACTTATTATCACAGTTGCCATTTACTTAGCCTTTATGCTTGCTGGTCAGAAAATTAATCCCCTAATTGTCCACAGACTAGTCTGCCTCCAAAGTTTCACAGATAATTGCAATAATTACACTAACAGTATAACACCCTTCTATGCAACAGTTATAGGTCCCCAAGGCAACACTAGCTGCTCAATAACATTTCTACAAGTGCATGTAAATTTACTTTGAAGTAAAAAATAATTGCAGTTTCATTTATTACATAATAAAATGTTGATATCAAATCATATAATCATATTGCTGAACTCAAAGTTATTATTAACACAAAACTGATTCACTGATTCATTTTCTACAGCTTATCAGACCTTTGTAAGTTATTTAAAGCCAAAAAATATTTTTAGATTGTAAGAATTTCTTGAGATACTAATGGTTTAGTGATACAACTCTTACTAATTAACCCATAGCTGGAGGGAGAAAAGTGGATTAATAACTTTCCCAAGGGTATCTGTGCATAAGTGAATATGATAAACCCAATGGGAATTGGAATTTGGCTCTCCAATTAACAATTTCAAGCCATTATCTATTACATCACCAACACATCTAAACTTACAGCACCTGGTATTCCTAAGTGGTCACCCACCTAGATACTGATCAGATTCAATGTTGCTTAACTTTGGTGATTGTACAGGAACTAGTGCTTCAATGTGATGAGGTTGTAAGCCTATTAACACAAAAGATCTCCCCCCAATATTAATGAACATTTCAACCTTGAACTATAGCAAGACACTACATCAAGTAGACAAATTAAATTGTCTATTAAAAAGCAAATAATTATCGAGCACTCTTAAGAAAAAAATGGCACTGATATTCAGAGAACTTAAAATGATTACTTGGTTACTTATTTTAGTACATGGTGTTACATACAATTATAGCCATGTGATGCAAACAATAGTCAGTGCATTATTTAAATAAATTAACCATAAATAATCAACAGTGCCTTTTTATAGTCACTTATATTATTGCCAACTAATACTATTTTTATATTTACATAGTAGCAAAGCATGGAGGAGTAATGTATTGCAGCCCGGATTGAGGAACTGGAGAGCTGAGTCTGCATTCCAGTTGATTTTGTTATATTCACTTCTGTACAAATAGCCTTGGAAAAAGTACAAAAATCCATCTCTTTTCCCATCAGCTATAGGTAAATAGCAGGACAAAATGGACCCTATAGCTTTGACTGGCAACTGATCTAAGAGAAGGACAACTTTGAATTCAAACAACACTTTTATCCACATGGCCTAGTGGTTGAGTGAATCAAAAGTGACTCGACACAAAGTGTTGTAAGTTCACTCCCTGGCCACAGCAGATAAAACAAAAACTTGGAGAGTTATCAAGGGGAATTAACTAAAACTGAGATATCCAAAAGGTATGGCATATGGAATTAGAACAATCTACCCCCGCCATGGACTTGGTTTGAAATTTCAATGTATATCACCTGAAGATGGCCAAAGTGTACAATGGCCAAAACCTTGTGAATATGGCAATAAAAATGATGACAACAGTCTGAACAATGTAAATAGTTAAAATATCTCATCTCAGAAATATAGACAGATAAAAATGAAGTTCCTACAAACAAAAATTTTGGCTCATCTTATCTAAAGAAACATGTTCAAACATTAAACTAATATCATTATAATATAAAAGAATATTTACTTTAAACTGCCAGCTTACAACATGTCTAAGATCATTTATTCTATAGCATACTTCTTCATATGAAATGTTGAGAGAAGTAATTTCCAGTTTTTAAGATGCAAAATATTCAATTACTATCATTTTTAAAACAAACTGGAAAATAATTGATAGTTGATACTTTTTTTTTTTTTTTTTGAAGGAGAGGGTCAAGGCAAAATATATAAAAAATAAAATAAAAAACTTCAAGGGTTTTGTAATAATTCCACACAATGGTTACACAAACAATTGTTACCACCAAGATATACAAATAAAGGCAATATGTTATAAAAGCAAAAGTAAAAAGGTATTCCCCAAACTGAAGAACTTAAATTAAAAAACAAAAGCAGTTTAGTAAAGATGACTCATTCAAGGATGAGTCATCTGAAATTCAAACTAGAAAGGGATTAGGATGAAAAAAAAAAAAACAAAAGCAGAAATAAGTAAAGCAAATTTTTTTTAAACAGAAGAAATAATTAAGGAAAAAAATAGAAGCTGGCATATGAAGAAGATTTAAGAAGATTTTACCCTGTTTTGAAGAAGAAAAACTAAAGCAAAATCACTTGGAAAAGCTTTTGTTAAGAATAGATCTAAGCCAAATAAATTACTTCACACAAAGTTGCATATCTCATGTCAAATAAATCAAAGATTCTAGATCAGTCAGCTTCAAATAATGAAGCAGACTTTCTTTTAGTGTATTTTTGTGGTTAAAGTAGAAGTCATAAAATATACAGCTTGGTGATAAGAAAGAATTTACTCTTGAGTTTTTCAATCATTTCATTATTTTCAAGTAAAAGTGAGGAAGTGATAGCCGGTCTTTTAATTAGTCATTTGGTACAATTACACAATCTTATACCAAATTGTGAAAACTAGGAAGTTCTAAAACCCACTTGTGTTTTTTTTTTTTTAATAGAAAAAGTAAAAAAAAAAAAAAAAAATTAACATGACTCAGTACACCTCTCGTAACCTATGCCAAACAGATAGGTCATGTGCAGAGTCAAACCTGTCAGTACACCATGCTTACTATTTGTTTCCTTACTAACTACTGCTGTGGAAGCATGGTTAAAAAAAAAAAAAAAAAAAAAAAAAAAAAAAAGAAAAATCAAATATGACAGTGAATATGAGTCCTGGTATCAAAACAATAACTACTTATAATTAAGAGAAGAAACAGTTACTTTCACTTCTGTCCCCTACTTCCAACTCAAAAGTATAAAAATGTTGAGACATCAATTTCAGCGAAAAATTTGGAAAAAGAAAAGACAGTTTTTGAATGCAGAAAATGTTTTATATTTACTTTTTTTTATTTTTAAACAAAGTATTTTAGCGAATTGAAATTGATGAATCTGAATAAGCCTATCTGATGTACAGAAGAAATGAATAAGTTAAAATATTTGATGTATTTGTAGAAAAGATGATAAAATGTCATTAAGATTCTTTTTCAAAGTGTGAGAAATTGTGTTTTGAGAAGCAAGTGAATTATCCTGAGAGAGAAATTGAGAAAGGCTTTTAGTTCAGTAGGCACAATTGTACTTACTACTTTATCTTGTAGTTTATCAAAGGTTCTGACTGCCATAGTTGCAAGATCACCATGCAGAGTATGATGTTAATTCCTGTGAAAACATAACAAACACTGCATAACTTTGCTTCCATCATTCAAGTGTTTTTAGAGGCTCCCTTTAGAAACTGGTTTTCATTAGAATAAAATAACATTTCTGAATGTTTTTCTTTTTAATTGGCTTATTTGAATTAATTTTTTTAAATTTTGACTCTTGCCTTCACTTTTAGCAACTCTTTCTTTGACAGGGGTTTATAATAGTAACAGTAATATTAGCTGTTTCCCTACAAGAAAATATTTGGTATTCATTGAGCAAGCAGCCAGTACTGTTTTCAGTTGAAATTTATAAAATCTTTCTATTAAAACAATTTTCTTAGGAAAGGTTTCTCAAGCAGCTGTTGGTATTCCTCAAGTGATATGGGTTCTGTTATTTGGAACAGTTCTTTGTGATTCTGTATTGCCAGTTCACAATGTTCAAAGTAGGATGTTTTTTGTTAAGGCCTGCCATGCATGACATCCATATGAAAATCTTAATATGACAAGGTTTTTTTTAAGAACATTTGAGTTTTCAGGTTGATTTCATAGCAATTTGCAGTGTTGGGTGAAGCTACCTCTGACACACTTTATTCTATGTTCAATTTCTTAATTTGTTATAACTGATCCATATACCGAGGTATCTGAAATATTTAGTATTTACTAATTCCACATCCACATAAATACTATCACTGCTTTCATTCCAATTCCAGATCATAATTTGTTTTGGAAAGGTTTATATCAAGTCCTGCTTCTTGGAATGATAGGATGCAGATTTTCTGTTCAAGAAAAAAAAAAGAAAGAAAAGAAACCAGTATGTATATGCTAACATTCAGCAAGTACAAATTCCTTTTACATTTTCTTCTTTTTCTTTTTGTACAATGAAAAAATAAAGACAAACTAACATGTCTGCTTAAAACTATAAACCATTCAGAAACAACCAAAATTATTGACAACTGCTTGATAGTGTGTTTAAAGATTGTAATTTTATAAGCAAAAGTGTTAAGTTTTCAATTTCTACCTATTTTAGGTATGAAGAGTAGATATTTACACTTAAAACAGCAACTTTCTTCAGAAAAAATAAGTACCAATTCTTACAAAACAAAGTATTACTGAAATATTTCTTAAAGAATGTCTTTCAATATGAGCATATTGATTAAGTATAATAAAAAAAAGTACCTTTTTTTTGGTAAAAATAGTACTAAAATATTAACTCGTTCGTTTTCTCAAGAACATCTGTACTAAAAATATCTGGAAATAGTTTTTTTAAAAAAAAAAAATAAATAGTTTTTGAAAAAGAATTTTGAGTATTGTTAAGTAATGCTAATTCCGACCTTACTACTACTTAACTGGCCAAATGCTTAATAAGTACTAAAAATGATCATATTTCACATTACTAATTATCCTAAGCAACAAAGTACTAACGTAAATAGCCTTTGATAAATTGTGTTCAATATTAATTTTTATAAGAAAGCCACATGATATTTCAGTAGTTTTTTTTTTTTTTCATTGGTTACATCTGAAGACAGAAGCAATATTTCACAAAACTGAACCAATAGATCAAATGGCATTAAGTCACTGGTCAATAAACTTTAAGGTGTTTTCATAACCATAGAAAAAATTGCTTAAAAGAAGAGTTAATGGGATACACTGGAAGGGAACAAATTCTAGACATATTGTGACAATCCAAACAGTTTAATCAAATAAAAAGATCATTTTTTTTTGCCCATACTGCTTAATTGATTAACTATGATGATCCATGGAATTTTACTAAAGTCAGATATATGTTGCATCATTAACAAAAGGAAAAGGAAAATTATACCAAATCTTAAAACTTTCAACAAAAAGAAAGCAACAACAAAGTATCATGGAAAAGGTAATCTTTTGAAGAGGAGTAGAAACATGGTCATTCCACCAAAAGTAATTTTTTTTTTTTTTTAAATCAAAACCAAATTTGAAAGTAAGGTAGTAGTGGGGGTAGAGGTCAACATTTTACAATCCCAGAAAAGGTTTATTCAGTTGCTCTACATTTTCTTTTGTTTCTCAAAAGAATTTGAATATAAATTGTCCAATGTCTTCTGAGTGATTTCAGAATTTTTGCTGAGTTAATAAGACTTTTGAGTCTCTTGTCTTGTCCTTCAAGTAAACTGTATAATAAAAAATAAAAAACTACAAATACTAGAAGTCTTATCATAAAAGATAATGGTTTCTGTAAAATGATTATCAAAAATAAGATACTCTCTTCCTAATAAGATTCAAAACTATGAACACCAAGCTATTTATAAAAAAAAAAAAAAAAAAAAAGTTTTTCCCCTCCAACCATGTATCCATTCAGAACATAGGTGGTTGTCACTCTCTATAGCATCCTTTTCTTTAATATGTGAATTG